AGATATGTGTCACAAAGATGTCTACACGGAACTGCCAGGGAATGGACTCAGTGATCAAGCACCTGGACATAATTCCTGAGGATAAAAAAGTCCGGGTCCAGAGGACGCAGAGCACTTTTGACCCGTTTGAGAAACCGACTAATCAAGTAAAGAGGGTGCATTCTGAGAACAATGCTTGCATTAACTTTAAGACCTCCTCCGCTGGCAAAGAGTCGCCTAAAGTTAGGCGGCATTCTAGCCCTAGCTCGCCAACAAGTCCCAAATTTGGCAAAGCTGACTCCTACGAAAAACTGGAAAAATTAGGGGAAGGATCTTACGCTACCGTTTACAAAGGGAAAAGCAAGGTGAATGGAAAGTTGGTAGCCTTGAAAGTGATCAGGCTGCAGGAGGAAGAGGGGACACCTTTCACGGCCATCAGGGAAGCTTCTCTGTTAAAAGGACTAAAACATGCTAACATAGTGCTACTTCATGACATCATCCATACCAAGGAAACGCTGACTCTTGTCTTTGAGTATGTGCACACTGATTTATGCCAGTACATGGACAAGCACCCCGGGGGGCTCCATCCAGATAATGTGAAGTTGTTTTTATTTCAGTTGCTGCGAGGGCTGTCTTACATCCACCAGCGTTATATTTTGCACAGAGACCTGAAACCCCAGAATCTTCTGATCAGTGACACGGGGGAGTTAAAGCTGGCAGATTTCGGTCTTGCCAGAGCAAAGTCCGTCCCCAGCCACACGTATTCCAACGAAGTGGTTACCTTGTGGTACAGACCTCCTGATGTTCTCCTGGGCTCTACGGAATACTCCACCTGCCTTGACATGTGGGGAGTCGGCTGCATCTTTGTAGAGATGATACAAGGTGTTGCTGCTTTTCCAGGCATGAAAGACATTCAGGATCAACTTGAACGAATATTTCTGGTTCTCGGAACACCAAATGAGGACACGTGGCCCGGGGTACATTCTTTACCACATTTTAAGCCAGAACGCTTTACCCTGTACAGCTCTAAAAACCTTAGACAAGCATGGAATAAGCTCAGCTATGTGAATCATGCAGAGGATCTGGCCTCCAAGCTCCTACAGTGTTCCCCAAAGAACAGACTGTCTGCACAGGCTGCCCTGAGCCACGAGTATTTCAGTGACCTGCCCCCGCGGCTATGGGAACTGACTGATATGTCTTCTATTTTTACCGTCCCAAATGTGAGATTGCAACCGGAAGCTGGTGAGAGCATGCGGGCCTTTGGGAAAAACAATAGTTATGGCAAAGTCTATCAAACAGCAAGCACTGACAAGCACAGTATTCTCAAGAGAGCACAGGATTAAGTTGTCATCATTCTGGGAAGAAAAAAAAAAATTAATGAAGTGGCCAATAATGCAGAGAGAATCATGGATCGGTTTCCTTTTGCTCCCTGTGGTGGATTTCACTTACAAGAAAATTGAAGCTGGCAAGACCCTGTTTTCTCTGCAATTTATTTAAAACCTTGCACGCATTTGGATACCTTGTGATTTCCAAGAACTATGTGAAGATTAAGCTTTGCTTACTGATACATGGCATGTATTCTTTTCAGTCTTTTGTGTTTGATTTTGTTTGATTTCCCTCTGCAGTGCAGTGTCTCTGTAAAGGTTTTAATGCTTTCACCAGCCATGTCTTAAATACATTAAGACAACACATTTGGTGTTCACACTTCTTCAGTAATGTCTCTACTTGAAAGCCACACAGCAGCATAAAACAATGTGTGTTTTCTTTGAGAGCAGTGCACATTTTCCAACCACTAGGAAGGATGTTTTCTGCTTAAGTAAACGGCTATTCTCTGACCAATAGCCAGGTCCCAAAGTGTGGGCCCCCACCTTGAAGGACATTTGCAGAGGTATTTTTTTTTCTTGGAAATCAACACATATTTATATAGGGTATTGGGATCTGCTTAGCATTTTCAAGCCACATAGCACAACTGTTTTCTGAGCAGGATGGAAGTGAAGGAACAAGTACCGAGCAGTAAGAACACAGAGAGGGACTAATTGCTTGTTTTTTCAACCTCTGGAAACAAAGAACTTTTTATGTGTAGTCTGGATCTTGTCATCATCTTATTTTTTTTTTCTTTTGACTCCATTACATTTTGTATGTTCTAAGTGGAGAAGAGTGAGGAACAGAATGTTTCAAACTCGGGTGTAAAGGACTGGATGAGCCCTGAAAGCAGTCTTGGCTGATGATTGCTTAGAAAGCAAATCACAGAATCACCCAGAGTTAGAAGTTTGCTGAGTGACAGCAAAGCATCCTGGAATTACGTCTTTAAACAGTATTCTGAACTGACTAGAAGGCAGGCTTGGGTACAGACAGTCTCCTGGAATAACTGTGCAAATGCAGGTTTTGGAAACAGTGCAGGAATCTTCCTTTAAAGGTGCAAACAGGGAAAAAGAAAAGCCCACCTTCCCATTTAAGACACTGAGGGACCTTGGAGGAGGAAGCTGACCTGGGATGCCTAGTGCTCCAGTGCAGAGGGGAGCTGCCTGGGGCAAGCCGGCTCCCGTGGGGCACCCTGGCTGCCATATCCCAGAGATACTGAGGCTAAGGGGCAGTTAGGAAACTTCATCTACATGAGCTTTGCTGGACGTAGCTCCCCAGGACAGAAATTCTCATGGTAATATCTTTGTGCACATTGTTTTACCTTTTCCTATTAGAAGGAGGAGAGATTGACATGCGTTGCACTGTTTTAGGGTCAACACTAGGAATTATGATCCATTTTGACAAAGGCTTTCTGAGAGTGGGGAAAGGAAAAGCTTCTTTACAGTAAAACCCAATACGCCTATGAAGCGGACCCCGAATTCCTCAGTGGTACGGGGTTAGTGGATCATGGTAAGATCATAACCCATTTTATCCAGATTCAGTACTCACGGTAAATACCAAGCAAGGCATTCCCTGCTGATCCATTTCAACGATAACAAAAGACACACAGCTAAGAATGTTTACTATTTACTACCTAGAAATACTTTCCATTCCTCTTTCATACATTCCAGCCCCCTAGAAGTCTTCAGAGATATGTTGGTTTAAAGTACACTCGCATTAGGATTTCCTAGAGTAAACGTGGGGAGAAAACTTTCCATGCAATCAAAAGCAGCCTTCCTTGTGATTTGCTTGGGATTACTCATTTGGAAGAAAAGCATAATTTCTGTATTTCACTAAGTTTAAATCAAGAGCTTGATGATTAAATCTTACTATTTAATAAAGTTTCTAACTTGAAACTTTGAAAATACTCAATGCTGAAAGCCTTCAATTAGGAATGTGAGGGTGATGAGAGATCAGTATCCCGTCATAGACAACTTCTCTTAGGAAATAAAGCATAGTACTACCCCGTGAGAGGAAGTCCGTCTTGTTACATAGACATGCCTCTCAGGAGGCTGCCTGGTTTTCCTTGCTGTTCATGCAGCAAGTCCAAAGTTTGGTTTGTAGTTGCAGTGGTCTTCTCCCTCCCCTACTTTTTGCTCCTGCCCTCTCAGAGGGCCATCATTAAAATCAATACAGACTGTGGTCATTAGCAGATTTATTATACTTTTGAGAGAGCACTGGAATGTTCTGGGGAGATTTATTTTTATATGAAGGAATAGCTTGAATTCAGGCAGCCAGTAAGAATAGTACAAATAGTCTAGCACAGGGATTGTATCCATACTATGTCTCTGCATACAGTATTGTGAAAGGAGATTTAGGACTTCTGTTTTCCTAAAGATACAGTTTGATTGACTTACAAGTACAAGATATACAGGACCTAAGACCAATGTGTTTGCAGTGTTTAGCAAAAAGTAGAGGGCATAGGCAGGGCTGGAAGCAGGAGGAGCTGCCCTCTGAGATGCAAGGGCGTGAAGCTATTTCTGCCTCCCAGGAACAATTAGAAAAGTTTCCAGGGGACCCTCAGGCTTGCAGAGGAAGCAGGACCTCTTAGTATCCCTTCCTCGGTGTGTTTATGACAGCCAGTGTAATCAGTACCCTAGGTATGCATCCATATGATACTCATCTGTGACTTTCTTAAGAGGTTTGCAATCTTTTGTTACATAAGAGGATGTTTAGACTGTACATACTGAGGTAGATTATTGCCTCACCCCTATACATAGGAATATGCTGCATAATCGCGCAGATCTTCCATCTCCTTTACTGGCTTGCAGGCAGAGAAACCTGTATGTTACTACCTTGCAATTTTCTTATACATCAAAAATCAAAATTTTTAAATCTAAAATAAGCAATTTACTGTTATTCCTCTTCCCGTAGCAGCATATTTTAGAAGCACATACAAAATTTACAGTTTCTGTTTGGGAGTGGAAATTTCTTTCTCTCTCTCTCTCTCTCTCTCTCTCTCTCATGCACTGAAATGTGCACGTTCTAATGGGATTGATACCTCAGAAATGTGCTAATAACATCATTCAAAAAACTATTAAACTTCAAAATGACACATGGTAAGGAGAATGGAATAATGTTGCATATTTGTTACCGTTTGTTACACGGCTGTATTATGAAGGATGTAACGGTTTGTCAGCTGTCACTGTTGTTTCCTTGTAACATGATATGGAATAAAGTATAGCAGAATCTCCAAAAAAAAAAAAAGATACCAGACTTTGTAGGCAGGTGTTCTTGTGCTTGAACTTTGAGTGGTACCAACAGTGCCATTTATGGTGAATACATGCTTTATTTACCTGGGCTACCTTTATTAGCCAGAGCTCTGCAGGGACTGGAGACCAAATAATTAATGTAGACACACAGGCTCTCCAAATCTATACAGAAGAGCCCTGGACACCCAGGGACTCAGGATCTTCTTCAGGTGGGCACCCTTTACACATGTGTCACATAGCAAAGGAGAAGTGAGTATTATCCACACAATTCTACTGGCAGGAGCAACAAGTTTTCAAATAAATTTATAACTGTTTAAAATGTTCATACTAAAAAAATAAAAAAGTTTATACTCCCAATTTATACTGAAATTACTTTTTTAGTTTTAGATTAGTTGTTTTTAAACTTTTAGTCTCAGAACAGTTTCCACTGTCAGACTTGTCAACAGAAAGGCCAAACTGTCTGAACCCAATAGGGTGAACCACCAGAGGCCATGGGCTATCAGAGGCCAAGTTTCCATGGTTCCATGACTCTGAGAGGCTGCAAGGTCAGCATAACCAGTTGTCTGCTGCCCCTTCATTCATAAAGACTTAGATTCCATCTGGCCTTATTACCTGGGCAGGGGCTCTGGGTGCATCACATCCAGTGCTGCAGCTTTAATGACCCCAGTCTGCAAAGCTTCTGTCAGAGCATCTTGATCAATTAGCAAACCTGAGTCAGTGAGACAACTATTCTGTAATCACCACAAATTTACCACATACATGGAAGACATTTGGGTCTCTTTAGCTACAATTTCAAACGTGTCATTTTGTTCCAATGACAGGGTTATCGATAGCACAGGGCTTGCATCCATGTCCTTCGGCCCTCCAGCCCTGCAGAGCCACAGTGCCTGAATGCTTGCCCTTAGTACCGTACCCTCACATGTGTCATCATGCCAACATTAAAAGGACATTGTCTCTCCTCTTTCTAAGCATCATATCAAACCCACCATATCAGGTGATGACACAAGGCTCACTACCTCCTGGTACTTGTTCTTGGTATACGCCAAAGAATCAAAGTAACACAAAATAATTTTTGAAAGTGACTGCTTATGAAATTCACCTCCATAAACTTTGTTTACTTACAATTAGAGGGTCAAATTTGACACCACTCTGACACTGAATAGCAGGCCAAACTTAGATTCGAAACCCCCCATCATGTACATTTCTCATACTATTACTAATTTGAACTTTAAAATAATGTAAAGATAAAATTAAGAATATTTGTAAATAGAACAAAATTCCCTTAATTCACCTGCCAAGTGGATTTTTAAAACCATGGCAGCCACTCAGGAAAAAAGGAGCACAAGAACTGCCAGGGCAGAGCTGGGGGATCCTTTGAACTTGTTTCCTAGCCGCACTGCCTCCAGGCAAACTGTACCTCGGCCAAGGTTGACAAGGATGGTGCTCAGCTTCATCAGCTGCAGTCCCCACTTAGGTCTGTGGCATCAGGCTCAGGGCTGGCATCACAACGTCTGACTGCTGCAGCGGGTCAGCCAGCCTGTCACAGAAAGTGGTCCCAACAGCTTCTTCCTCCTCCAGATTCCTATGGAGTAAAGCACATTCTCATCAGAAACTTACCTGGTTGCCCCAGAGGGAGGGCAAACCCTTCCAGGGATGAGTCTCTTTGGAGACCAGGGTTGTTCCCACTGAACCAGACTTCCTGGTTGGGTCTAGGAGGCCCAGAGTCCAGGCAGCACCATCCAACCCTGCAACTCCTTGAAAATGCTGGCTCATTTGTGGATACCTTGCCTGCTCCAGTATCTGCAGGATTACAGTCCTAGAGACCCCTGAGGACAAAGCTTCTTCTCCCTTGCCTTTCATTCAGTGTCTGTGCCAGCTCCCAGCACCTGTGTTACTCAGACCTTCTTTTGGGGAGGTCAGAGGCTCGCAAACTGTCATACTACAGGGGAGGGGAAAGAAGAGGAAAGAAGAGGT